CATAAGCAACATAAGCGAAAGCTCCTCCAACAATGGCAGCGACAACCACAAGCAAAGAGACCGTTCCAACGATGATCCTCTTCCTGAATTTGCGTTTCCTATCGGCGTTTACACGTTCTTGGATCTTGTCAAAATCCTGAAACGCCATTTAAAAAAAAAAAAAAACTATAGAGAAATATTGTTTTTTTATCTTCTTTTGCTTGGGGGAGAGAAAGAAATGAATCTCCTCTGCCTTCCAAGACGGCCAAGGCAGGGAGGTTAAAAGGAAAGATCAATCCTTTAACGTTATATTTTTGGCTCTTTTTGGTCTTCTCTCTGTCTTTTGATCGCTTGGTTTCAGTTGTATTGTTACTGTCTTGTTGCAATTTCTACAAATGGACAGGAGAGTTTTGTGGGATGATGTTAATTTTTTTTAATTGAATCATAAATTTTACGCCTTCTAAATTTGGCATTCTCTTTTCGAGTCAATATTAGAATTGTTGGTTAAAACTCAGAAGTAAGTCAATTGATTTAACAGCTAAGTTGGGAACTTTGTTTCAGTGTCGTTTTAACCTTTTAGGGCTTCAAATAAGTTAGGTAGTAAGTACATCTCCAGACTCACAGAAAGCTGATAAAAAATGTGATGTGTTGCAGTTTTAACGCATTTTAACTCGTGCTTTATGTTTTTTTATCGAGTCATTACAGGTTTAGAAGCGTGGATGAAGATTGGAGTTTTTGGAGCTAAAATAGTTTGGTTGCTTGTCAATTCTTGGGTCATGTTGGTTATTATGTGCTACCGGATGAACGTACTTCAACTATCATCGTGGGCACTTCATTGTCCTCTCATGTTTCCTCTCCTTCACTAGCTTCCACACGGCTTCTTTGCATGGCGATTCCAGGATGTCTATTGATACTTTTTCGGGATTTTTCTACGGAGAGTTTTGAATGTATAACAATTGTTGTTTTGTTTCCATGTTTTTAATCTTTATTGTCATCAGATAAAAACCATAAGTGTAGCAATTTGTTTAGCGAACAGTTTGTAACCCTAAATTTTCATTTCATAAATTATATTTTCTAGCAGTGTTTTTAAAACCGGACCGGCAACTGAACCAGAAAACCATTTGGGCCATGGGTGCAATGTGGTTCGACAAGATTTAAACAATTTTTTTTTAAAATTAATTTAATTAACAAAATAGTAAAATTTGGTTTATATCCGGTCCAAAGTGTTCAATTGGATCGCCGATTTTCGGGTATTCGCCGGTTCAACCCAGTTCAATAACCGGATTAACTCAATTAGGGTTTTACAGTTAACCCAACCTGAATCGGTTCACGGTTGAACCCGTCGATCTGGTGCGGTTTTCAAAACATTGATTTAAAAATATCCTAAAAAAGTTGAAATGGTACGATGCGTCCCTGGTAACTTCACCGTCTTCTTAAATGTATGTGACTGACAGAACACAACTTGTCAATTTTTTTTTTTAATTCCAAGTGTTGCAAAAGACATGCCCTCATGGGTTCCTCCTTTTTACTAGTGGAAACTCAGATAAAGCCAAGAAGAAGACGGCTATGACATTTTTTTTGGTTGCTAAAAAAGACTGCTAAGACTTTTCAAGACAAAGGTCTAAATGATAGTCAAATTTCGGAATATAATGACAGTTAGATGAATAAGATGAATGGAATAAATAATCGCAGACAAATATTTATACAAGATGAATGGTGTTATTTTAAA